TTTCCTATCTTCTGCTGGCTTTATGGTGGTTTTTTTGCTGTTTTTTTTTTTTTTTTTTTTTTTCAAGCTCTTTGAGATATGAGATTGGGTTGTTTCTTTGAGTTCTTTCTTGTTTTTTTTTTTAAAGATTTATTTATTTTTATACAAGAACCCGGGGTATAGGGCAGATGTGCGGGAGGGTGAGAGGAGTCACCAGAGACAGAGTGGGGAACAGAACAGGCAGACTGATGAAATACACAGCTGAGGGAGCAGCGGGCGAGACAGGAGAGGTCTGCCGCGCCATGTGGGACCCTCGCCGGCCGGCCAGGATTGAACCCGCACTGCAGAGGCTGTGGACAGCTTCACAGTGCGGCGCTCAACCACCTGTGCCACCAGGGAGGCCCTCTTCTTGTTTTTTTGATGTGAGCCTGTATTGTTACCTATTTTCCTCTTATTACTGCTTTTGCTGCATCCCATACATTCTGGAAAGTGGTGTCCTCGTCATTCAACTCAAAGTATTTTTCAATTTCTTCTTTGATCTCCTCTAGTCCAGTGGTCTTCCAGTAGTGTGATTTCAATCTCCATGAAGTGGGAGACTTCCTTGTTTTTTTTTCATGATTTACTTCTAGTTTGATGCCTTTATGATCAGAGAATGATTTGGAATGATTTTGATCTTCATGTATCTGTTGATGTTTGTCTTGTGGCCCAGAATGTGATCGATTGTGGAGAATGATCTGTGCATGTTTGAGAAAAATGTGTACTCAGATTTTTTTGGGTGCAGTGTCCTATAGATGTCTGTTAAGTCCATGAATTCTATGTCTTTATTTAGGGCTCTAGTGTCTATTTTTTGTCTCGTTGATCTGTCCATTGGTGAGAGAATGGGGTGTTGAAATCTCCTATATATGTATTTTCTTAATGTCTGTTTTCAGAGCTGATAATAATTGTCTAATATATTTTGGTACTCCTTCATTTGGTGAGTATATGTTCATGAGTATTATAGCTTCCTGATGTATTGTCCCCTTGATCATAATGTAGTGTCCATCAATGTCTCTTTTTACCTTTTTTAACTTGAAGTGTAGCTGTTCCTGTCTTCTTTTTTTGGTCCATTTGCATGTAGAATTGTTTTCCAACCTTTTACTTTAAGTCTGTGTTTATTTTTTGTGTTAAATGAAATGTGTTTCCTAGAGAAAGCGGAACGTTGGATTTTGTTTTTTTTTAATTTGTGTCTCTTTATTGATGAGTTTAATCCATTTACATTTAGAGTTAATATTGATATGTTGGTATCTGTATTTGCCATTTTGTTTGTCTTTTTTGTGATTTCATTCCTCACTTTATTCTGTTCTCTGATCATTCCACTGTTGGTTTTGGCTTTAGGACTTCTTGTAGAATTTTTTGGAGTGGGGTTAGTTGGGGTTGTAATGAATTTCTGGAGTCTGTTTGTTTGAAAAGGTCCATATTTTTTCTTCATAGAGGAAGGAGAGCTTTATAGAGTAAAGTATTCTTGGTTGGCATTTGCTTTTTGTGTTGAAGTCTGCTGAATGTTACTCCATTCTCTTTTTGCCCGTAGTGTTTGTTCAGAGAAGTCTGAGGTTAACCTGATTGATTTTCCCTTAAAAGTTATCTGTTTCTTCCCCCTTGCTAGTTTCATTATTTTTTTTTTTTTTTGTCTTGGACTCTTGGAGGCTTTACTGTTATGTGTCTTGCTGTAGTTTTCTTTTCACTGTGGTAATTGGGTGTTCTCACTTCTGGCATGTCTATATTCATCTCCTTTTTCATGTTTGGGAAGTTTTCTTCTATTATCTCCTTGAATAATTTCTCAGATCCTTTGTCTCCTCACCTTCTAGAATGCCTGTAACTCTTACATTTCCTCTCTTCGTGGAGTCTGATAATTCTTGAATATTGTCCTCATTCTTCTTCCTTTGTACTTCTCTCTCTCTTTCTTTTATTTCTGGTTCTTTTATTTCTGTATCTTCAAGAGTACTGATCCGTTCTTCCATTTCCTCAATTCTGTTTTCAATGCTTTTCCGAGAGCTCTCTGTCTCCTCCAGTAATCTTTTAGTCTCCTCTTTTTATTTCCTTTCTTAAGGTCTCATTTTCGTTCTTCAATTCATTGATATTTTGTCTCATATAATTTTTTTCCTTTCCGTATTCTTTACACTTTTTAATCATGATGAATCTAAATTTTCTGACAGGCAGAGAAGTTCTTCCATGTCATTGTTGTTGAGTTCTGGTGACTGATTTTCTTTTTGTGGTGTGTCCTTCCCCTGTGGGCTTGCTCGATTATTTATATTTTTCCTTCTCCCTGCTGTTTGCTTTCTATTTAGTTCTGTGCATTGAGATGTTGTGCCACTGGTGTTGGCGGGCGTCTCTTTGGATTGCTTCTTCAAGGGTGTCAGAAACTGTTTACCAGACTGAGACCAGCACTTTAGGCCAAAACTCCACTAGGGTTTTGATGCTGTGGCTGTGTTGCTGGCTCAGTCTGTTACAGTTCCCTCCCTCCATATTTACTCAGCTCCAGCAGGGAATCAGCTAGTTGGTGATTTTGCTCTGGTCACTAGGTGGCACCAGAGATCTGTACTTGCCACCTGTGCTTTTCCCCATAGTTCTCTGAGAAACTGGGTGGGGCTGGGGTAGGAGAGCACCTCAACACAGGGGCGGATTGCTCACGCTGGAAGCTGTGTCTGCCCCATGTTCACCTGTTGCTGTGCCCTGAATTCTGCACTCTAATTCTCAATCCCAGGGTCTCAGATCCAAAACACCAGCTGTCACTCTGTGCAGTGCCCACTGTTACGGCAAATCCCATGCCCCAGATCTTATGCCTGGCTCTCAGTTCCAGAATGGGGTCTTGCTCCATGCCTTGTTTCCATTCTTACCCCTGTTTGTATGGCCTGCCCTCTCTCAGAGCCGGAGGGGGTTTTGGAAACCCTGGCTTCCGACTACTAGGAAGTGGGTGATTTTGTTCTGTTCATTAGGTGGCAGCAGAGATCTTTCCTAGTATCCTTCCAGAACTGTGCTTTTGCCCTGTGGGTCTCCTGGCGAACTGAGTGGGGGTGGCGTGGAATGCCTCAACGGTGTGGGGGTGCTGTGTATGCCCTGTGCCGCGTGGTGTGGGGATCCCCCCCGCCCTGAATTTCACTCTCGGTTTTCAGCTCTGAAGCCCTCAGATCTGGGGCGCCGCGGTAGCCCAGTTCAGTGTTGGCAGAAATGGCGCCTTTTGCACCCTGCTCCAGTGCCCAGGCGCCTGGTTTTTGATAACCCAGTGAGGGTCATTCACCTCAGTGCCGGCTCCCTCACATCTCCCCACAAACCTAGGTCCCAGGGATCTGGGCAGCCACGATCCGCGTATGCTTTTCCAGCGCGGGTGCGCTTTTCCGCGCAAGTTTACTGCCTGGCCTTTGGCTATTTGCAGGTCTCTCTGCGGAGTCCTTTTCTTCCTCCAGTGGCGCCAGGAGCCATTCACTCACCTCCTTGGCGGTTCCCGCAGGATTCTCCATAGTTCCCGGTCTTGGGTTGTTGTGCCTGCAGTAGTTCCTTTCCACTCACTGTCCCACTTGATCTCTAGTTTGCTCTTGTTTTTTGTTGGTTTTTTTTTTTTTTTTTCTCCTTCTTATTGGTCGGAGAGTGCCGGCTTTGTGGGTGGCGGAGGGTAGCAAGGTTCTGAGCTTTCCTCTCTTCTCGTCCTCTTTTATTGTAACTTTCCTCTTTGCGCAGTTTGCCAGAGTCGCCCATTTATCTTCCGTGTCCCGGTTCTCCCAGGGACCTGCCGCTTTTCCTCCCTATTAACCGGTTTTATGGGAGAACTTACTGGTAGCGTTTCTCCACCACCATGTTGATCCTCTCTCCCCTTATAAATTCTATCTTTAGACAACATCTTAACGAAAACTTCTAATTTGAAAACTGTCAATACATAGAAATCAAGGTGGTTTCAAAGAAATAATCCTTGAAATAGGAATTGATAGAATATAGACATTTTTGAAAAAGGTATACTGACAGAATTATCCTTATAATGTTAAAACTGATTAATATTTACTTTTTTCAGAGTGCTTTTCAAAGGATTTATTTTTTTAAGTTCTTAAATGTTATGAGGTATTAGTGATACTGTGGATAAAGAAACTGAGGCAAAGAGAATATTACGTGACTTGTTCAAGTTCTGAAAGCATTGCCACAGTTGAGATGCAAATGTTATGCCATTTTTCATCCTCGTAGACATAAAATATGATTGGTCTCACTTGGAAGAATTTTCAGTAGGCACGGCTGTTGAAATCTGAATGATGTTAGTCTTATTTTTGCCTTTTTAGATTTGAATTTGAAGGAAATCAGGAGGGAGAAATTACTGGCTTCAATTTTTAAAGAGATGTTTTCTGGAAATTCAGTAGCAGAATTTTTGATTTTTAGAATTAGAGGCCAGAAATGTTTCTTCAATGTTAGGATTATGCTGGTATGTACATTTTTATGTACTTCCATTATCCATTTTGGCCATTATTTTGGTAGGGTGCTAAGGTCAAGGCCTTAAATGGTATTCTTAGTGTGAACTTTATGTAGCGCATTGTCGTGGATTCTTAAAATATTATTCAATGTCATTACAGATTTTGTCCATGATAGAAGAAGCGGCTGGAACCAGGATGTATGAATACAAAAAAATAGCTGCCCAGAAAACTATAGAAAAAAGGAGGCTAAGCTTAAAGAAATTAAGACGGTAATGAAATTTATATAAAATGTCTAAATTTTTTTTTAAAGATTTGTTTATTTATTTATACAAGCACTGGGTACAGTCAGAAGCGCGGAAGGGTGAGAGAATTCACCAGAGCCAGAGCTGGGAACAGAACAGGCAGATTGACGAAATACACTACTGAGGGGAGCAGTGGGCGCAGCAGGAGAGGTCTGTCACGTCATGTGGGACCCTTGTTGGGGGCCGGGGATCGAACCGGAGCTGCAGAGGCTGCGGGCAGCTTTGCAGCCCAGTGCTCAACCGCTGCGCCACCAGGGGAGGCCCTATATGAAATGTTTATAAAGAAGACAGTGATTTTTTTTTGACATTGCTTTCCTATAAAGAAGGAAATTTTCTCCTATTCATTTTCCTTAGCCTCCCATGTTATTTTTCCTAATGGTACTTTACATACTTTTTCCTTTATTTTTAGATACTTGAAGAAGAGATTACACCAACCATTCAAAAATTAAAAGAGGTATACACTATAGATGTGAAGATAACCAATTATAATGTCTCTCAAAATTGGTGATGTGTTCAGGATCAAACATGAGGAATGAATTGTATACTAAACAGGAATTTTTTTTTCTGGGATGAAATAAGGAATAGAATTAGTACTCTGTAACTCAGCCTTCTGCTTTTAGAGGACATGTACTTTATATCTATTAAGTCATAATGATTTTGAAGATTGCTCTTCATAATCTCAGAAAATGATTTGCCATATTTCAATGTTTTGTTGGAGAGAAATAAGTCTAGATTTTCTTGCATAACCAGAATTGACTGGAGTAATATTTCTTGATGATAATGGCAGTCTTCCCTTGTTAGCATGAATAACTCCTAGCATGATTGGGACTATCACTACCATTATTGCTGTCAAGGCATTTGGTGAGTGAAGGTAATGAAACATGACTGAATTTCCTTTAAAATATGTACAGTTCTTGAAGTCATAATCAGTGTTTCAGAAAAGAATGCACTTTCACTGAATTTATTAAATGCTCCTTAAATTTTTGTCCTTCTCAGAGCTATTTTCTGAGTCCATATAAGAGTTTAGATATTATTGGAAAGACTGAAAAATTCTGATCTTGACGCTACCTCTTGCACAATTTAATAGAAAACACTAGGTCAGTAATTTTAACTTATGTTTTATACCTAATTTTGCCAAATTTCTCTAAATCTAGCAGCATGGATGAGTCATTTCACCACTCTGAATTTCTTCATCAGCAAAGTAGGAATTTTAAGTGTTACTGTGTCTGCCCCATAGGGTCCTTATGGAAATAAAGTTTAGTGTATGTGAGCAAAAGCTTTTAAATAGTTAAATGAATGAATGTCTTTGCAGTGTACAACAAAAAAATTTAGTATATCATTGGTGAGTGTGTAGGTTACTGTCTACCCCTTATCTGTGACCATATGTCCGTTTGTCCCAACTGCATAAAATATGTATTAAAATAAATATCCTCGTCGAATTTACTGGGAATGGTTTAATGTTAAATAAAAGCCAGAGTTCTTTTGTTAAAGTTTTTTAAAGTTGATAATCCAAATCCATGATCACTTAAATATAAGGCAAAGTTTATTCTGTCTTGTAAGGAAAAATTGTATGCATGTTGCTGTTTGATTCTTTCCAAGTTTATTTAAATGTGGGTTTTGAGTTATATTATGTTGGTGATTTCTCTTTCAGGAAAGATCTTCCTACCTGGAATACCAAAAAGTAATGAGGGAGATAGAACATTTGAGTCGTTTATATATTGCTTATCAGTTTTTGCTGGCTGAAGATACCAAAGAACGCTCAGCTGAGGAGTTTAAAGAAATGCACGATAGAGTTGTAAAGCTTCAAGAAGAATTATCTGAGAATGATAAAAAAATAAAAGCTCTCAGTCATGAAATAGAAGATTTGGAAAAAAGAAAAGATAAGGTTAGGCATATACATAAGAATGGATAATATACTCTGAAAAATCATATATTATAACTAGAATCTACTTGGCATTGTCTTCCATATTGATTTGTTAATCTTAAGTATGATAACAAAATAGCTTTTTAACAAGCTTACTTGTACTTCACGTAGAAATCATTGGATGCATTTGATTATAGGAAATTGGAGGAATACTACGCTCTTTAGAAGATGCTCTTGCAGAAGCTCAGCGAGTTAATACTAAATCTCAAAGTGCCTTTGATCTTAAGAAGAAAAATCTGGAAAGTGAAGAGAACAAACGTAAAGAACTAGAGAAAAACATGGTCGAGGTAAGCATATAGAAATTTTATTTAATTTCACTAATATGCATTTTTCCATTCTGTCAGTATTTATTTAGTGCTATGGACCAAGTATAGTTGTTGGGCTGGGGAATATGGCAATGTCGACTATAACAAAAATGGACAAAACATTTTCTGGGTCTTCATTCCGTTGAGGGAAATGATGCGAAAATAACTGTGCAAGATGATTTGTTTTATAGTGATAACTGTGATGTAGAGGAAAAAATAAAGCAGGGTAGGGGATTAGGAATATTAGGGTACAGTTTGGAATTTTTAATTTAATAGATATTGAAGAGCTCATTGAGAGGGTGATTCTTCATTGATGACCATAGGAGGTAGAGGTCAGAGAACCATGTAGATAAATTGGGAGGCTTTGGGGACAAATTTCCAGCAGAAGAGCACTAATTGCTCCAGGTCCCTAAGGTATTAGAAAAATAAATAATTGGGCTGCTGGTACTAAGTATAGGGATACAGAAAGGTGATAGGTGTATGATAACACATTTTTGCAGTGTGTACAGTTTCTGAGTAAGAGACAAGGGATGTCACGAGTTGATCGAGAGGATGACATTTTTAATGTTTTAATTAGGCTGTTCTAACGTGTGTGTGGGGGTGTGTAGAAGAACTGGGGTGTAAGCAGTGAGGGAATGAGAGGATTCACCAGAGACAGTGGGGAGCAGAACAGGCAGATGTACTGAAATACACTGCGGAGGGGAGCAGTGGATGAAACAGGAGAAGTCTACTGTGCCATATATGCAGCTCCCTGACTGGGAATCAGACTTAGGCCATAGTGGTGATTGTGCTGAGACTTAACCCCTAGACCTCCAGGGAGGCCCCATTCTGTTTTGAATACAAACTGTAGATAAAAGGAAGAAGCAGAGAATCCAGCTAGTAGTGGCTGCTAATCCAAGTGATAATCCTTGCATAAATTAGTGCAGTAGAAATGGATGTTTTAAAAGTAGTTGTGGTATTTTATGTGTAGTTTAAGAGTAGATCCAACAAGTGACATGTTGGTTGTTGAACAAGAAAGAGAAAAAGACTGAAGGATAACTCCAGATTTTTGTCTTTAACAGTGGGAAATACAGAGGTACTGTTAGCTAAGATGCAGAATAGGAAGAAGTACAGTGTGAATATAATAGGCTATAGGTGCTGTTAGATAGTTGAATATAGGAATTTTGAATGTAGGTTAGTAATACAAGACAAAATGCAAAGTTGGCATGCTCCAGGTCTAAGTGCTCAGGATTACTCCATATACATCATCTCTTCAATGGCTCATCCTGCCCTTTATCTCTTAATTTTTATTTGTTGATCTCATTCAAATCTTTAATTAGCTTAGACATCTTTCCTGAACTTTAGACTCATTTGTCCAACTACTAAATCAACACTTTTATTTGGACGATTAATAAGTCTAAAAGTTAACATAGCCAAAATAGAGCTCTTAAATTTTCCCCATTTATCCAAACCTACATGAGTTACTGAATTTTCATGTCAGTAAATGTCTACACTGTTAACCTGATTGTTCAGTCCAGAAATCCTTGTCCTTCCATAATTTCCCTTTTTTTTTAATCTAATCCCATTTCTAATCCATGACAAAATTCTCTTGACGTTAAAAATGTATCTAGGATACAGCAACTTTTCATCACTGTCATCATGGCTAAACTGGTTCAGACCATCATCTTGAATGAGGCTTACTGTAGTAATTTCCTTCTTAGTTGTCTTTTACTCTTCATTTTTTTTTTTTTTTTTTTCTTGCTGCTCTATCTCTTCTTTCCAGAAGCTAAAATAAAAGTTGGGTCACATCACTCTTGTGCTTAAAATCCCTCAGTGATATTTTAGTTCTTTATTGTCCACATTTGACTATAACGTGAAATGAAAGTATTTCTAGTAGGTAAAATGTACATTTATCCTAAAAACAAGAGAATGAATCTCAAAATAGGAATAAAATATTTAAAGTTATGATGATTAAATTATTTTCGTTATTGTCATGCCCACTTCAAATTGCTATGAAACTTGATGACTTACAGATACATATAAGTAAATGAATTTTTTTTAATGTAATATTTCCAATCTGAAACTCTTAGGATTCTAAAACTTTAGCAGCAAAGGAAAAAGAGGTTAAAAAGATAACAGATGGATTGAGCGCCCTTCAAGAAGCAAACAATAAAGATGCTGAAGCTTTGGCTGCTGCACAGCAGCATTTTAATGCTGTTTCCGCTGGCCTCTCCAGTAATGAAGATGGAGCAGAAGCGACTCTTGCTGGTCAAATGATGGCCTGTAAAAATGACATAAGTAAAGCTCAAACAGAAGCTAAACAGGTAAAATTTAAGTACCGTGTGATTGCAGTTTTTTTCATCAGAGAACTTGCTTCATATTATATGCTTTTGTCAATTATAAAATAATGAAAATGATGGACTGTTTACTCAACCACTCTGTAACACCTTATACAATGAAATTCAAACATGCTGATACTAAATATTGGTGATGTTAATTTGTTAAGATGCTGCAAAACATAAAATACTTTTGTAGGTTAACTGAAACTGTAAGTACAATAGTTTAGTCTGTCTGCTGCATTGTATGGAACATTGACAATTAGTCAGTTTATTCTCATCCTTTGCCATCATAAAATTGATGTCTTAAGGCTTTAACAGGAAACCAAAAATGTCCTCTCCATTTCTGTGTCCACTACACCTAGTTTCTGAAACTACAACATCCTCCTTGGAAATATCTCTATCCCCATTCCAGTCTTTAGCTTCCCTAACTCTGATTTCTTAATCTTCAGAGTTTTTTCAGTTTATTGTGATGGCTTCAAATTTGTTCATTTAATGCAACTTAAAGTCTTATGAACACATAATTTGAGGGCAGAAAAGTGTGTGTGCATGCGTACAGAATTATTTATTTATTTATTTATTTATTTTTAACTTTTTATTTTTTTTTATTTTTTTTTAATTAATAAATTTTATTTTTATATTTATTTGTTTTTTTAAGATTTATTTATACAAGCACTGGGTACAGTCAGAAGCACAGGAGGGTGAGAGAATTCACCAGAGCCAGAGCGGGGAACAGAACAGGCAGAGTGAAGAACTACACTGCTGAGGGGAGCAGCAGGCGGCAGGAGAGGTCTGCGTGCCATGTGGGACCCTCGCCTGGTGGCCGGGGATCGAACCGGCACTGCAGAGGCTGCGGGCAGCTTCGCAACCCAGCGCTCAACCGCTGCGCCACCAGGGAGGCCCCACGTACAGAATTATTTTTTAAGGAGCACTCATCATTAAAAAAAAAAAATACACCTATGTTTTTGTATATTAATCCCATTCAAAGTTTTATATATTTGCAACATTTTTTTTCAAAAATAGTGCTTACAAAAACATATCAATAGCAGAATACTTCAAAGTTTGGTCAGTTATTCTGTTAACTAATTTTATGTGGGGAAAAACCCACTACTGTTCAGTTTCAGAGGATACGCCCTCCTAGCCTTCTTGGTCTCAGAAAACTAGCTCATGGTTTTAAGGAATAGTGCTCAATTATATAAACCTAAGACTCCTGAAATTTCAGAACTTCTAGCAGAATTTTAAATATCAGACCATAGCAGTTAAATTTCTGTCAGTTTCACTTTCCTACATAATTTTATTTCTCATTGCTCAATAAAGCGTCTCCTCTTCTCAGTTATATAACACCCAAATAGATACAAATACAAATGTGCATACCTCAGTGCAAAGGAAGACAAGTAGACTTGTGGATTTTGAGCTTTTTGTTGTGGTTTTAACTGGCTAATGAGTTATTTTTAATATAATTTTTGAACTCTTGTTATTCTTACAAGTATTAAAAATATAGACTTAAATTGAAAATTATTTAATGACTTATGTTAATTAAGCATGTATTGGTTTTGTGCGTGTTTTTTTAGGAGAAAATACTGGGAAATGATTGCTATGTTGAAATACTAATCCAAATGACCTAACAGTTACATTTTCAAGACTGATGTCTTTTAATTTAACCAATCTGAGTCTGGCTAGTACTGTCTACCTCTTATGTAGTTTGTTACATCTTTCTATTACAGGCTCAGATGAAGTTGAAACATGCCCAACAAGAATTAAAGACTAAACAAGCTGAAGTAAAGAAGATGGATAGTGGCTATAAGAAGGATCAAGATGCTTTAGAGGCAGTGAGGAAACTTAAAGACAAACTCGAAGCTGAAATGAAAAAGCTAAATTATGAAGGTTTGCCTTTAAAAACATGTAGTAAATCATTATAAGGAAGTGATTGTTGACAGAAACTAAGTTTAAGGAAATAGCAAGTAGGAAAAAATTTTTACCCTATTAATGGGTGTTAGTGTAATAACTATTCGTAAATAGTCCCCAAAATATCTAGGTATAAAACAGCACTTGGAATTTTTGAAATATCAGTACTGAGATATTAATGTTTATTCAATACCACTTGATGACTCAGAAATAATAGTTGTATATTTCTATAGTAGCATTCAGTTCATGTGTTGTTTCTTGGAATGAAAATTGTGTTATTGAAAATAATGTCTACTTGACACTTGATAGGAATTTGTTAAGTATGCTTTTTATTTAGTACTTATCAGAAATTATTTTGCTACCAAAAATATTTTTGAAATAGAGGTTTCTAGTATTTCCTTAGATCAGAATAGTTGAATTTTTTTAAAACTTCATTTCAATTTACTTATGATTTACTGTTCAGAAAACAAGGAGGAAAACCTTTTGGAAAGGCGCAGGCGGTTGTCTCGTGATATCAGTAGATTGAAGGAAACATACGAAGCTCTCTTGGCCAGATTTCCCAACCTTCGATTTGCATACAGGTAACAGATTTAAACCTTAAATTTTAACATAGTAATAACCAAGATAAACTTTTAGTTGGAAGACAATCTGGAGATGTTATTAATGTTAAGATATTTGTATGAGAATTACTGTTTTTCAAAAAACTGCTCTTCCTTAGTATGTTTTCCTTAAATATTTAATGAGCTGTTTCAGATGTTGAATGGGAAAATTATTGCGTAATAAAATGGCTACCAATTTAATCTCAATCCAGTTTTTTTTAATTTTTTTTTTAAATTTTTAAAGATTTATTTTTATTTATTTATACAAGCACTGGGTACAGTCAGAAGCGCGGGAGGGTGAGAGAATTCACCAGAGCCAGAGCGGGGAGCAGAGCAGGCAGAAGGATCGAAGTATACTGCTGAGGGGAGCAGCGGGCGGCAGGAAAGGTCTGCGCGCCATGTGGGACCCTCCTCCGGAGGCCGGGGAGCAGCCGGGGATTGAACCAGCGCTGCAGAGGCTGCGGGCAGCTTCGCAACCCAGCGCTCAACTGCTGCGCCACCAGGGAGGCCTTCAACCAGTTTCTTAAAAGTTATTTTATCAATGTTAAATATTAACATTTTAAAAACTTTATGAATTTTTTCCATGGAAAATTTATAGCAATGTATGTATGAATGACTATAGCAATGTATGTATTCTATGTATGACTAAAAACATTAAAATTATTTATTACATTAAAAACAATATACTGGGGAACTTTTGATTGATTTAAAGCAATAACTGACTAGTCATCTGGAACATTCAGTTTTTAAGACAACATGCTTCACCTGTGTTCATGTCAATTAAATATGTTTTCAGAAAAGCTCTTGACTAATAAAGGACAACTTTTTCTATTTTTTCTAGCTAAAGATTGATTTTTGTCAACTTTTCTATTTTAGGGATCCAGAGAAGAACTGGAATAGAAATTGTGTGAAAGGACTGGTAGCTTCCCTGATAAGTGTGAAAGACACTTCTGCAACCACAGCTTTAGAATTGGTAGCAGGGGAGCGGCTTTACAATGTTGTAGTAGATACAGAGGTAAATACAGAGAATTTGTAATTGTTATTTAGATTGAAATATGTACTGCTAGAAGAATTGGGTACTTTCTTGATGTTTTAAGTTTCTCCCAAGGTTGCTTATTTTTACATGCTATTCACTCATTTACTTTCTGATTTTATTATTGATTATATTTACTTGTGTTCCAGTGGTGATGTCATGCTTAATTAGGAGTTTTGAATGCATATTATCAATCCTGGGCATTTGGTTGTTACGCATGGAAGGCAATAAAAATTTGATTATGAATTCCTAAACAATCACTCCTTCCATTTGGATATTTTCTGTCATCAATAATTTTTTTTTTCAAATGAACATTGTTTTAGGTTACTGGAAAAAAACTACTAGAAAAAGGGGAATTGAAGCGTCGATATACTATAATTCCACTCAATAAAATTTCAGCCAGATGTATTGCTCCAGAAACTCTGAGAGTTGCTCAGAATCTTGTAAGTCTTTATTTTTTTCTGCATCTTTATTAGAGGACATTAATTAAGAATAGGGGAGTAATCATGTAGAATCAAAAAATACTGTGTTACCATGCTTTAAAAAATTGTAACAAAATAGAGTTGGTTTTTATTCAGTTAGATGGAAAGTAAAGATAAATGTCAGACTAGAATTCTTCTTGGTATTTCAGTGTGTAATAAATCTTAAGTCAAACCATCTGACTATCAACTGATATTAAACATGAAATTTCTGATTTCTGAAATAGCTAAAGTTATAGAGCTTAAATACCAGAATTCTCCATGTTTTTGTTTCATGTCAGGCAGCTTTACACTGCCCACAGGGGCAACAATTACGGAAAATATCCATCAGTTTTATAGTCACGAAGCCGATCACTAGGATATCCAGTCAGCTGCTGAGGTAGATCTAAAGTGGCATGCCTACTAGTTAAAAAAAAAAAAAAAAAGATAGATGAGTACAGAAGGTAGATATAAAGGACTAGTATCGCTGTGTGGTATTGGTTAAAAACATAAAGCCAATCATAATGTCCAGCAGCACTATCAGTTTGTTAATGGCACAGGCATTCCAGGTGTGTAAATATAAAGTGCAATTCTATGAAACTGATAAATACATTTGTAATTAAGATACTAAAAATATAGTACACTTGCTGAAATTGAGAAATCTTTAATGAAATAATCTCAAAATCCAGTTGTGTCCATAATATCAAAAGGAGGATAAGTACAGAGTAAGTGAAAGGTGGTATTTTGGGTTAGTATTTCCTTTGCTTTGAAAAATCACCTTTGGGTGGTCTCCAAAACTTAGAAAGGCACTTCAGCCTTGGGTGAAGTCCTGGCCTCTAAGTAAATTGGAATCTCAAATAACAACAAAAATAGTTCCACTTAGATCTCTTAACCAGATTTAGATAATGGTAACTGTTCTGTCAAACAAATGCTGAACATACCTTACCCAGTGCTACTTTCATTGTGATTTCTGCTGCTGCTCTTAAACTCCATAAAGGATAGTGATACAAAGTTCTTAAGAACAAGTTTTTCTAAAAAGAACAAGTTGTTCTGCTCATCTTAGTTAAAAAGAAAAAAGGGCAGAGACAGACATTATTACCAGGATAAGAGAGTTGTATCAAAACAAAGGGATGAGGGGCTAAAAAATTTTTAAGGGGAGCATTTTTTGCAATTGTGTTAACTCGATCCATTGCTGTGCTTTAATTAAAGTAGTATGCAACTAGTCCATTTTTAATTCAGAAACTTGGTAGTGGCTCCTACTTAGTAGAAATTCTTGTAATGCTTGGTACTTTCATTGTGTTTTACTTACTAGTAGATCTTTCAGTGTTTAAACATGAAATTTTTTCCCCTAAACTATTGAATTTTCTGTTAGTATTTTTTAAATTTCAAAAGTAATACAGTACTAAATATAGATTATTTTAATTTTTATTTTAATTCTTTGTGGTTTATAAATATATTTGAAGGGAGAGGACAAGTATAAACTGTGACATAATCTATTTCCTTACAGGTTGGCCCTAACAATGTTCATGTGGCTCTATCCCTGGTTGACTACAAACCAGAACTTCAGAAAGCAATGGAATTTGTCTTTGGAACAACATTTGTTTGTGACAGTATGGACAATGCAAAAAAAGTGGCTTTTGATAAAAGGATAATGACTAGAACTGTAACTCTAGGAGGTGACATATTTGATCCTCATGGGACATTAAGTGGAGGTAGGTTTTATATTATTTTGTCCTTGTAATCCTGTGTGGGCAATAGGATGGGCGGGGGGCTTTCTTTTTCATTTTATTATTTTAAGGAGAATAGTGGAGTTGGTGGTTTAGTCCTAATCTTTGGTTAGAACCAGGACTAAAACCCAGGTTTTATGCTTACAAGCAAATAATCTAATTCCAGTATCTTGATGGAAATCTAAGGATTGAATTTATACTTTAAATACTTACCACATGACACATAATTAATATTGATAATCATACAGTGTCTTTTTATACCTCAAGGAATTCAGTCTAGTAAAAAATCCTGTTTCTTTTTTATTTTAGCTTTATTTTTAATTATGCATACAATAATTGGGGAGTAGGCCAAGTTGCGGGGGATGGTAATGAGAGGATTCAGCAGGGACTAAGTAGGGAGCAGAACAGGTGGACCTACTGAAATACACTGTTAAGGGGAGCAGCGGGCAAGAGAGGAGAGGTCTGCTACACCATTTGGGATAGCTCTCTGGCCAGGAATCAGACTCATGTCACATGGCTGGTGATAGCTTGATAGTGCTGAGAATTCACCCCGCTCCACCAGGGAGGCCCTGTTTCTCTTATTCATCTCAAATGAAAGTATACTGTTTATTTTCTCTTGTTTTCTGTCCTATCAGGATAGTTTAGTCACTGGAGAATTCAAGTCTTTATTAAGTACATATTTAGTGTAACTACCCACTTTTTTTTTTTTAAGATTTTATTTTTGCATAGAAGAACTGGGGTGAAGGTCAGAGGTGCGTGGGCTGAGAGGATTCACCCCAGAGTAGGGAGCAGAGCAAGTTGATTTACTGTAATACACTGCTAAGGGCATCAGCGGGTGAGGCAGAAGAGGTCTTTCTGCACTATATGTGGGTTAGCTCCATGGCTAGGGATCATACTCTGGGCCATCAGAGTCAAAGAGCTGAGACTTAACCCCTATGCCACCAGGGAGGTCCCAACTACCCAGTTCTATAGGAAACACGTTAACTTCTAAATTGTGTTTATGCCACTCCTGTCAAAAGTTAAAAAAACAAAACACAAAACAAATCTTCCCTTAAGGTGGTGCTTTAGAAAGGAATTCTTAGTAGTTGATCATATTTTTCTTTTTTAAAGATTTATTTTTTTTCATTTATGCATACAAGAACTGGGGAGTAGGTCAGAGGCATGGGGGTGGAGGGGCTGGGGAGGGAGGGATGAGAGGATTCACTAGAGATCGTGGAGCAGAACAGGCCTATCTACTGAAATACACTGCTGAGGGGAACTGCGGGTAAGACCGGGGAGGTCTGCTGTGCCATGTGGGTTAGTTCCCTGACCGGAATTGAACTCATGCTATAGTGGCTTAGCTTAAAAGTACTGAGACTTAACCCTTGTGCCACTAGGAAGGCCGGATCATATTTTTCTTGTTCCAATATTTGTCAAATGTTTCCAGGTCTTTGTCAAGTGATCATGTAATAATAACAAACACTGACTAGTATTATGTTCCAGGCAGTATTGTAAGGCTGTTGGTGCTAGCCACATGTGGTTCTTTACATTTACATTTTTAGTAAACTAAAAATCATTACTTTAGCTATACTGGTCACATTTCGAGGGCTCATTAATCACGGTGGTTAATAGGTAACTGGATAATAGTCATAAGGGACATGTCTCTCATTCTATAAAGCCTTATTCTAAAGACTTCAGATAATTAACTCTTTGAATCTTTGTAACAAATAAGAAGTAGACATATTACTATAAAAAATGCAGTTGTAGGAATTAAGATACAGATTGGTTAAGTAACTTACTAGTAACTGACAAAACTCAGAATTTCAATTTAGATAGTATGATTTCAGAGTTTGTATTTTAACCAGTAGGCTATATAGTGCCTCTTGAGATATCAAGTGACTCAGTGTGTTTATTTTTTTTTAATCGAGATGTAATGGACAAATAACATTAGTTTCAGGTATACAGCATAATTTAGATACTTGTATATATTTCAAATTATAGAAGTATTAAATCTGTCATCTTTTTGTTACATTCTGTTATATTCTTTGTGCTAACAGTTTAAGTATGACTGTTCTACAACTCTCAAATATACAACACGGTTTTATTAATCATAGTATTCCCATACTGTGTACATTATATCCCAGTGACATTTTTTATTTATTTTTTAAAGATTTCATTTATACAAGAACCGGGGTACAGGCCAGATTCGCGGAGGAGGAGGAGGATTCATCAGAGACAGAGCAGGGAACAGAACAGGCAGACTGACGAAATACACTGCAGGGGAGCAGCGGGCACGACAGGCGAGGTCTGCTGCGCCATGTGGGACCGTCGCCAGCCGCCGGGATAGAACCGGGCGCTGCAGAGGTTGCGGACAGCTTCATAATGCTGTGCTCAACCACCTGCACCACCAGGGGAGGCCCGTGACATTTATTTTATAACTACAAGTTTATATCTTTGGACAACCTTTACCATTTTTTCACCAGCCACCTCTGGCAACCACCAATCTGTTCTTGTCTGTGAGGTTGCTTGGTTGGTGTGTTTTTGTTCTCTTTCAGCCCTCACACATATAAATGAGATCACATAGTATTTCTCTTTTCTTTGACTTATTTCACTTACAATAATGAGTGCCTTTGCTGTCCATCCATGTTGTCACAAAAAAGCCAGGTTTCTTTTTTTATGACAAGATAATGTTCCATTTTGCCTCTGTATGCGGGCATACCACATTGTCTTTATGCATTCATCCATCACTGGGCACTTAGGTTCTTGCCTATCTTGGCTATTGTGAATTATGATACAATGGGCAGAGGGTTGCAGATCTCTTGAGTTAGTGTTTTCAATTTCTTCAGATAAATAACTAGATTGTTTTCTTTAGATAAATAACTGGAAGTGGAGTTGGTAGATTATATGATAATTGTTTTTAACTTTTGAGAGATACCTCCATAGTCTTCCGTAGAGTCCACACTAATTTATATTCCCACCAGTGTTGGACAGAAGTTCCTTTTTTGCCTCATCCTCTAGCACTTGTTATTTTATTTTAAAGATTTATTTATTTATGCTACAAGAACCAGGGTATGGTCAGAGGTGTGGAGGGTGAGAAGATTGACCAGAGACAGAGTGGGGAACAGAACAGGCAGATTGACTGAAATACACTGCTGAGGGGAGCAGTGGTTGAGACAGGAAAGGTCTGCTGCGCCATGTGGGTAGCCCCTGGCTGGGGATCAAACTTGTGCTGCAGTGGCTGCAGATAGCTTCATAGCAAGGGTTCTTAACCCCTTGCGCCACCAGGGAGGCCCTAGCAACTTATTTCTAGTCTTTTTGAGAAAAGCCATTCTAGTAGCTGAGAGGTAATATTTCAGTGTAGTTTTGATTTGCATTTCTCTGGCAATTAGTGATGTTGAGCCACCTTTCATGTATACCTGTTAGCCATCTTTATGTCATCTTTGGAAAAATAGTCTATTCATATCTGCCCGTCTTTAAATCAGATTGAGTTTTTGCTGTTGAGTTATATGAGTTCTTTGTGTGTTTTGGATATTGATCCATTATCAGATAGGATTTGCAAATATTTTCTCCCATTTTATAGGCTGCCTTTTCAATATTGAGTTTTCTTTGAAGAAGCTTTTTTAGTTTGATGTAGACCCACTTTGTATTAGATCCAAAAAAATCACCAAAACCAGTGTCAAGGAACTTTTACCAATTACGTTTCTTCTAGGAGTTTTTGGTGTCAGTTCTTACATTTAAGCCTTTACGCCAATTTGAGTTAATTGCTGTGTGTGGTGTAAGAGAGTGGTCAAGTTTCATTCTTTTGACTCTGACTGTCCAATTTTCCCAATACCATTTACTTAAGAAACTGCTCTTTCTCCATTGTATATGGCTCCATTCTGGGCTTTCTCTTCTGTTCCATTGATCTGTGCTTTTATGACAATGCTGTACTGTCTTGATTACTACAGCTTGGTAATATAGTTTGAAATTAGGGACTATGATACTTCCAGCTTTGTCTTTCCCCAACTTTGCTTTGACTATGGGGTCTTATGGTTCCATATAATTTTTTTGATTATTTGCTCCCTTTCTGTGAAAAGTGCTATCAGAATTTTGATGAGAATTGCATTGGATTGTATTGCTTTGGATCTAAATTGCTTTGGGTTATGACAGTTTACAATATGAATTTTTCTAATTAATAAGCATGTAATACCTACATTTATTGTTTTCAGTTTTTTTCATAAATGTCTTATAGTTTGGAGCATACAGTCTTTGAACACTTTGGTTAAGTTTATTCCTAGGTATTCTTTTTGATGCAGTTGTAAGAGGGAGTGTTTACTTAATTCTTTTCGGTTGATTGTATTGAAATTTATTGGTATTTTGGAGCTGTTGGTTTCAGAGAGTGGGGTCCTTGGTTTAACTCTGGGAAGTTTTACCAGCATTCCCCTTTCAGTAGCACCAGTGAGTTTTCCAGGCGAGTTTCTCCATGACACAGGGGTGTTAGTTATATCCAGAAGGGCAAGTTTATTATAAAGGGGGAAAAAGAATAAAGATGGTTACACAGACACAGGGGCAGAAAGAGCTGCCCCTGAAAGGGACAGGTTGCTAAAACAGAGACCTGCATAGTCACAGGCGAGCAGCCGTGGGAGGAGAGCTGCCTCTAATCCTTTGCAAAGGAGGAGGTCAGTGACGAGAAAACACTGGCATGGTCAGAGGTGGCAGGAGAGCTGCTGCAGGGAGAATGATGTCACAAGGAACACCTGCATAGGCACAGGCTGGCAGATGGGCTGCTGCCTCATGCCAGTACAAAATTGCACGGAGACAAAGTATTCTTTTTTAGGGTCATTCCTTTGGAGTTGTTAATTCATTAGCCTAACTACTTCTAGGGTTGGCTGGGTTGATTCTAAGGACCAATGATTTTCTACAATGGCCCTCAAATCTCCATATCCCCACCCTGGTTTGCACTGGTGATATTTTTATAGCTGTCTGATACTTGCTGTAGCAGTTGGCACCTAAGGGAATATTCATTTTGATAGCTGTTTTAATGATGACTATGTTAACCACCCTCTACCTC